ACCAGTGTAACATAGAAACACACTCTTGGATGAATGAGATTTCACACCAGATCTCTTCAGTAGTTTCTCCTAAACGGCAACGAGAATGAAAGGAGATCAAAAAAGAGACATTTGCTGAGTTTGGGCAATTTCTCTACTGAGAGAAAGAGCCCTATTCTCGCATATGTCTACTCTAGAGTTTCAGAAGAGATGAATATTTCCCTAAATCATCTATAGAAAAGAAAAACCACTCAGGAGACCTCAATGAGGTCTCAGATGTTTCTCCAAGACAGCAGTGAGATTGAATGGAAAGCAAATAGAGTCGCCTGCTTCATAGATCTCAACTGTCTCCTCCATACAGTAGTTCCAGAAGAGATCTTAAATTGTATTTCTTTTGATTTTAGGAGAAACATCTGAGATAATGCTGATACAGAGAAACATACTTAATTCCCTGGGAACAGAGCAGAAAGAGAAAAATCACATTCGAGATCTCACTGATGTCTCAAATGTTTCTCCAGGACATCGGTGGGACTGAAAGAGACTCAAAAGTCTACTTTGGAGTTTCAGAAGAGATCTTATTTAGGAGAAACATCTGAGATAATGCTGAAACCAAGAAACACACAAAGCTCCCTCAGCTGTGAAAGAGCAGTCTATAATTGCAGAGGAGATCTCACTGAGGTCTCAAATGTTTCTCCGAGACATCAATGAGATGGAGATCAAATTGAGTCGTCTTTGATTTGAGGAGAAAAATGGGACAATGCTGATACCAAGAGAAATATTACGTTCCCTGAGCAATGCAAGAGCAATATCTGAGCAACAATACTTTCCTAAATCACCTTTAGAAAAGAGGTCTCAAATGTTTCTCCAAGTCACCAATGAGCTTTAATGAGGAGCAAACAGAGTTGCCTCCTTCACACATTTTATGTATAGTTTCAAAAGAAATCTCTATAATATCTCAAACTCTGCTCAGATCCCAAGCTCCGCAATCAACAGTCAGCGATCTCAATATGATCTCAAACATTTCTCATCAAATGATTTAAAACACTCTTCGCACTCATTTTATAGCTCTGTACTCTTACTGGGCGACTCGTTTAGGTCTGTATATGTCTCCTGATGAATTATAGGGAAAGTTGAACTCCGTAAAGCCTCCTGAGCACTAAACGAGCCTCCTCTGAGCAATACCATTCATCATAAACTCCCTGTACAGAGCGGAAGAGAAGCGAGTGGTTCACAGTTGACCAAACACGAGTAACACAAGCGCAGTATATGTGAACATCACGGCACACCAGTGCGTTTCTCCTGTGCGTATCACAGCCATGCAGCACATGCCACACTCTTCATACTCACCCAAAAGTACATCATCATTTCAGCCGCAAAAACCCTCTACAGATGTTTTTTTTCTCTCTCTCTGGAGTTCAGGACAGCTGGATTCTCCTCCCGTCTCCTCCACACTTCTCTCCTCACGTCTCCTCCTCTCCTCTTCTGACTTTTCTGATGTTTGGAGGTTTTCTCCGGAAACACCTCGAGAAGCGGCGTCAGGGTGTCTGATACTCTTTTACTCCTTCCTTTGCTCTCGTCTCACAGCAGCTTTACTTTAAGACCGAGTCTGAACCAGGATAACAGCAGCCTCCAGCGGGGAGAGAGAGCAAGAGTGAGCGAGCGAGCAAGCGAGGGGGTTTTCTCTGATGACAGTATTGATGGCGGATGTGAGTGAACAGGCTCTACCCACAATCCTCTCAAAATACGCCAAACGAAACCCGACAACCACCACAAACAATCAAGATGAAACATGGGAGAACATATAAAGACAGAGGACAGAGCCGTGTTGTGTAGTATGTCATTAAAACAGTGAACTGTAAATCTGTGTCTCTTACATGTGCTGGGAGCCACCACACACGGCTCATATTTCACCAGAAAGAAAGTGTTATATTTTGCAAGACAATATTTTAGTCTATTAAAGGCAATCATGAATTTTTATGACATTTAATAATAAAAATACACTCATTTAATGCACAAAAAAAAAAACTTACTTCCACTACTGTAATGTGGGGAAAAAATATTCCTATTACTGCAATGTGAACAAAAATGATATATTACGCAATATATTTTGCAAGCAAGTTAATTTAAGGACTTATTGATTTATATATTATTGCATCATGACATTAATCATGACAATTAAGTATATTTACCATTTTTGCCATTATTGTAACACAAAAAATTAATAAATCAAAATACGAACTAACAAACTAAATTAATAAATATTTTCCATTTAATGCAATTTTTATTAATATAATTTTTAAAAAGTGAACAACAACAAAAACATATCTAATATTTTTTGCATTTATTTAGCAAGAACACTAATTCAAGGGCCATTAAGTTTATTTTTAATCGCAACATTATTTTAAGACAGTTAAGCACATTTAAGCTAATTTTTCATTAATTGTTATGCAGAAATATGTATATAAACGATATGTGAACAAAATATTTAAATTAGAAGCATTTATTCATAATGACTTTATTTGTTTTTGTTTTGTATTTATGCCAGCTGTAACAGAAAAGTATTTTATACTAAAAAAATAATCATAATAAAAGCAGTGAAAAAACTACATTACAATAAAGAGAATCTAATGAGAATCACCTTTAAGAATAACCGGGGAAAGTAAAACGCAAAACTGCAAGAAAAGAGATAAAGAGATTTTGCATGAAAATGTGTTTAAATGTCACAATGCAATTAAATCCTAATGGTCTCCAAAAGAGGCTGTACTTTAATAATAATGTTGTATTTTTTTTTTTTCTTTCAGATTGTTGGGATGAAATGTGACCTAGATGTGTTATCACAGGGATCGGCCCTGAAGTCAGTTCAATCCCTTTCTATAAAGAGAAACGGAGAGCGAGTGAGTGAGAAGTACATGAGGAGACGCTGTAGTGTCACTGCTGTGTCAGCACATCTTAAAAACAGGTCATCAATATCTGCCTGCAGGACACACTTTCAAAATGAACCCGGCAAACCACAGAGAGAGAGAGAGAGAAACGCTGGCCGTCTCCTCACACACACACACACACACACACACACACACTGTAATATCATCTGACTTCACTGCTGCTCGTCTTCTCCAAGCCATCCGCTCATTTAACTGGATTTTTATCTGTGGTCATTTTTTTCTCTCTCTAGTATCTCTCTTAGACCTGTGAGGAATATTATTAGAAATGATAATTAGACTACAAGAGGTAAAAACACGCATGTGACAGGATACATTCGGTCCAGATCTGCACTCGTCTCGGTTTATCTCTCTCTCCGTCTCACTGCTGCTGTGAATAAGCATGACAAATAAACGTGTTGTTTTCTGTGTTCAGTAGAGCTTGAAGGATTCACACCTGTGATCCGACTGAAGACTAATCTAGACAAGCTCTAGTCTGATTCCCTGATTCAGATTCTCTGAATCTGACTCCAGTTTGATACTTTAATCTGATTGTCTGACACTAGTCTGAATCTCTAACATCAGTATTATTAGATTGATTATTTGATTCTAGTTTGATTCTCTAACTCTAGTCTGAATCTCTGACACCGGTTTTATTCTTAGGATCTAGTTTCATTGTTTGACTCTATTTTGATTCTCTGAATCTGATTCCTCTCTGACTATAGTTTGATTCTGTAATTTAATTAACTGAATCTCCAATACTCGTCTGAATCTCTGACTCTAGCGATATTTTTTGACTCTACTAAAATCCTTTGACTCTTTGTCGAAGGATATTAGTACATTTGATTATATATTAGTATATTTGATTCTCTAACTCTACTTTGATTCTTAGAACCCGAGTCTCTGTCATTAGTTTGATTCTCTCATCTGTTTCTCTGAAACTAGTTTGATTACTTGACTCTAGTGTGATCGTTTGAGTCTGAATCTCTGACTCCAATTCTTCTGACTGTGATTCTCTGTCTCTAGTTTGATTCTAATTGTATTCTCCGATTCTCTAAAATAAACCTCTGACACTAGTCCTATTCTTCGACTCTAGACTGATTCTTCAACTTTGAACCTCTGACTCTAGTTTGATTCTTTGACTATGACTCTTCACTATCTCTGATTCTCTGTCTGTAGTTTGAATCTGAAATTTGATTCTGATTCTGTAATCCGAATCACTTACACTCGTTTGATTCTTTGACTCTGGTCTGTTTCCTCGACTCTAGTTGATTCTTCCGACTCTGATTCTCTGCCTCTAGTTTTATTCTCTAATTTGATTCTCTGATTCTCTAAATGAAATATCTGACGCTAGTCCAATTCTTCAACTTTAAATCTCTGACTCTAGTTTGATTCTTCAACTTCAGTCTGATTCTTTGACTTTGAATCTCTGACTCTAATTTGATTCTTCAACATTAATTTGATTCTCTGTCTCTGGTTTGATTGGTTCTCTGATTCTCTAAATGAAATATCTGACGCTAGTCCAATTCTTCAACTTTAAATCTCTGACTCTAGTTTGATTCTTCAACTTCAGTCTGATTCTTTGACTTTGAATCTCTGACTCTAATTTGATTCTTCAACATTAGTTTGATTCTCTGTCTCTGGTTTGATTGGTTCTCTGATTCTATAAACTAAATCTCACACTAGTCCAATTCTTTGACACATCTTTGATTCTCTAATCTGAACCTCGGACATTATTCTGATTCTAAAGCAAGTTTCTGATTCATACAGAACAATAAAAAGCACTGTCGCTGCATGAGCTGAACACAAGCATTCATCCAGCTCTGATGCCGATCACATGAATACTGACTGCTGGAGAGTCATTTGCTCAGTGTGTAACAGGTGATGATCTCTTCACAATCACCTGCTGCAACTTTACGAATCGCACCTGTTGTTTCTCTCAGGCTCGACAAACAGCATCACAAATACATCACAACAACACACACACCATCCACACACAAATCCACCTGTTCATATCAATCATGATCGCACAAACAAACCACACTAGATCAACACACACACACACACACACACACACACACACACACAGAGCGCATCTCTCACCCGCGTGCTGAAGAGAGGAAGTCCTAATCGGCACAGATGATCGGTCAGGAGCCTCCCGCACTGCGACTTACACACACCACCTGACCACAAAACACACACAGACATGACAATAAACAGCTATACTGTATTGAAATATTGACTTTGTCTTTCCTAAAATCCTTTCAGAAAAACACAAATGTGCTTCTCATTCTTGTCAGTTCTCTCTATGTATAAAAGTTTTACACTAACTTTATGGCTTCTGATTACACATCTAGGTTAAATTCCACCCCAAAATGTGAAGAAAAAATACAAAAGTATTATTAAAATAAAGTCTATTTTTGAGACCAATTAAGATGTTTTGCTCTGATTTTTCCATGCACATTTTCACACAAATTCTCATTACTTTAACACATCTAAAAGATCTTACTTTTTTGTAACTTCAATTATTTTCCAAAGGTGATTTTCAGATTGTCATTCTTTTAATTAAGTCATTTTTTAATGCTTTTTATTTATTTTTGTACTTTTTTTCTGATTACAGTTGGCATAAAGGCAATACAACTATGATCCATAAATGCTTGTAAATGGATTAAATATGTTGTTGTTGTTAATGTATGCATTCATTAATTCGTATTGCATTAATGTAATTCTGGGCTAAATCTTATGATGCAAAACATCCTAATTGCTCCAAACTGGCATCACATTTGGCAAGAAATTAAATATTGTTTTGCAAAATATAACTGGCATAACATTGCAAAATATATGTAATAAGTATAAAGATCTGTGTCTTTGGCATCTTGGCTTGAGACATTGTTGAGACTCTAGAGGAGACAGATGTGAGAAAACCGGAGTCTTTTTCATAAGACAAACACCTGAGAAGCTAACAGATATGAAGAGACCTCATGTGTGACTTTTCTTTCATTTGCACGTTTACATTTTTACATTTTCAAAAACAACAGGTTTCCAAAATGCTGAGGTTCATATATGTATATCAGTTTTTAGTCTCAAAGTGTTTTTTTTTTCATCCGGGTTAAGAATGATTTCTCCAAACCCTCACAGAAACCTATGCAGATCATTAGATTTTAAGACAAATATCACCAGGACTATCTGGGGCCCGTTTCAGAAAGGAGGTTAAGTGAAAACTCTGAGTATGTTAACCCTGAAATGAGGGAAACTCTGGGTTTTAAGTTTCAGAATGGGAGGTATGTCAAACCCGAGAAAGCAGGGTAAGTCAAGCCTGTTTCTGAAAGAGAGGTAACTTATACTCAGAGTCAGTTACCAGGGTAACTTACTCTGTGAACCTAACCTGGTCAGGAGCAGGTTTTCCTCGGTAAACCCAGAGTTTCTTTCGGTCTCCTCCCCCTTTTTAAAGCGCAAGTGACGCTGCAAAAATGCTTTTCTTACTAAGTATTTTTTTTCTTATTCCAAGTACAAATATCAACAAATTCTTAAATCAATATGGATTTTCTATATAAGAAAATTATATAAGATATTTAGTCTTGTTTCATGGGGGGGGGGGGGTCTAAATTAGGTGCATTTTACTTAAGTAAAATTATCTGCCAGTGTGGTAATAAAAATAATCTTAATGCAAATACAAAACAAGATTATTCGGAGTGTCTATTACTAAGTGCAAATCTACCGTAGCTCCACCCTCCAATGTCACACAAGGTTAAATACGAGGTGCATAAATAGCGGTTTCAGTGGTGTAGGCAGTAATGCGTTGGGCGCGGAGAATTAGCTTGTGACGCGATCCACCGGGTTCGAGTCCGGCTTTTGCCGAGCTCGCTCTTCTCACTTTTCCCATCACATATCACATTAGAATTTATTTTCAATAAAAATTGAGGTGCAAATAATTTGTATCTGCCAGTATAAAGTATAAAGCATCTAATTATTATTTACACTTATTGCAAAGAACTGCTACTTTTACATGGTAAACAGAATATATCACTATTTTCTCTATAGTGTAAATGTTACGGTGCTGACGAGACATGAGAGGTGCGGATCCAAATGCAAGGCTTTATTCATAGACATGGTAGAGACAGGCAAGAGTCAGATAATGGCAACGGGTATATAGAGGGCAAGACACAAGAATAATCCTAGGGCTAACATGGGTCTACGATCGGCGAACAGAATTAACAGGGCGAGACTAGAGGGGTAAATCCAAGTACAATGCAAAGGTCCAGGCAGGGGCAAACAGTATCTGAATAGGGCAAGACGAGAGGGGGAATCCGAGGTACACAGGCAAAGATCAGGATACAAGAAAACAGACAAGGCAAGACTAAGGTAAGGCTATGAAAACTAACGGGCTCCGTAGAGTAGCTATCGCTAGGTGAGTGATATACGCTATACAATACTCGGCAGTGGGAAGGGATCAGAGTGAGTGTTATATAGGGAATGTGTGATTGATTACAGCTGTGTGCAATCAACTGTGTGCGTGTAATCAGTGCAGTGGATGATGGGAACTGTAGTCCGGGTGAAGTGCAACAGTGGTGTGGTGCAAGAGTCCATATATAGTGTGTGTAATAGCTTTCAGGTGAGTGTGTGATTGGTTACAGCTGTGTGCAATCAGTGCAATGGATGATGGGAAATGTAGTGCAGGGTATAGTGTAACAGTCTGTGTAGTGTGAGACTCCATGTAGTGAGCGGGTGACCTCTGGTGGTGAGTGAACGGAAGTTCATAGACCGGATTCGTGACAGTAAATAGCATCTAGAGCTATTTGCACTTAGCCTACTGTAAATAGGATATATCGCTAAGAAAGTATGTTAATTCCACTTAGTGTAAATAGACACTGCCGTATTTTTCTTACCCTATTGGCAGATCATTTGCAAAAAAAGAAAAATGCACTTTAATTATTATTATTATTATTATTTTATTTTTTATTTTTTTGTGGTATATCATGAAAATGAATAGCCTATTAGTTCAATAACCTACCGTTCTGCCAGTTTTCACTTATAATATTATAACAGTGATAAGAATTAAACTATTGACTCTGAAGTATGCAGACGTCTTTTTTAGGGAGCTGTTGCCATGGTGAATCATAATTTCGGAGCTCCATTGATCATGGCTTTTCATAGTCGTGGTGCACGCGCTAAACTCAGTGTCAACATACTCAGAGTTGATTGAACTAACTCAATTCAGCTGTTCTGAAACCGAAAACTCAGAGTTTCCCATCTCAGAATAAGTCAACTCAGAGTTCAAGTTTTAACTCAGAGTTGGTTGAACCTCCTTATTGAAACGGGCCCCTGAGAGCCTTTTTAACTAGCGATGACACACAAATTGTTATTATGATATTTCACTATATTAATGAGCACATTTGGCCTTCACTAGTGTACACACACAGAAACACACGCTTGTGTCGACAGCACATATATTATTTAAGAGCAAAACAGCCATTACAGAGGTGCTGGTGCCATTTGCCAAGAGTCACTGTGTCTATTACACAACGAACACACATCATCATCACCATCATCATCATCATCTAGTGGATTCAACCATCTCCACACAAAAAATAAATAAAAAACAATAATATCAATATTTGTAAATAAAACAAAGAGTATTACAGTTTTTCGGTTTCAAAATTTCACATTTAATTCAATGCATTACTTGCATTTTCTTTGTAATTATTTGTGAAATTACTCAATTTCTGATTGAAAAAAATTGTTTTCAGTGTACTATAATATCAGCATGTACACACCATCAATACATGCACATGTACTATATTATGAACACATCAAAGATTCATCTGCAGACATAAACATCAGTGAGTGAGTCTGCTGCACACTGCTCTTAGAGGCGTTTCTGCTGTTATTTGTGAGTCTCGCGGGCAGTTGTGTGTTCTGCTCGAGTCGTTGGGTTTGTGTTGTTTCATGTGACGCATGTCTGTATATTTTTGTCTCATTCCACAGACTCCACAACCTCCTGCACTGACTGCATCAAATATTAACACTGCGATTAAACGCTACAGAGAGAGAGAGAGAGAGAGAGAGAGAGAGAGCCTGTCGATGCTTGTAGCTGCCGCAGTGACTGTCTGTGTGTGTGTGTGTGTGTTTGGCTGGAGCTCACTAATCACTTAGGGCAATGCTGACCTCCAGAGCCGCCTCACACACTCACTCACTCGCACACTCACATAGACACACACACACACACACACACACACACACACACACACACTCTCTCCCTCTCACAAGTGATCTGAACTGAAGGTGCAACAGATGAGGTCTTAGACTGATGTATTGTGAAAATACAGACTCAAATAATGTAAATAATTGTCTATTTTCCTTTCAGTCCTTAGAAATGCAAAAGAGGAATGTAACAAAGTTCGTAGTCACGGGAAGAAGGAGGCGGGAACCGGTGAACACTTAAACAAAACTTTAATCAAATAAACAAACACAAAACGAAAGTAAAGCGGCAGCCCCTCGCGGACGACTGCCGCACACAAAACACAAAATAGTTCCCACGGCTCTCGGCCCCGCCCCCACTCGTCACAAGGAACGTTTGACATTTTGCATGAGTTACTGTTAGTTTTTGTTTATTTTGAATAAACATATTTCTATATATTTAATATTTAGAAATCATATTTATATTATATAAATTATATATGTAACATTTAATTTAAAATTAAAACAAATTGAAGACACGAAGGTTGTAAAAATATGAAAATACTGACACAAAGGGTCGTGCTGCATTCAGAATTGAATTGAAGAATCCTTTTGAAATTGAGGTAGCAAACAGATTCAGTATTAAAGTTTTGAATGCAAGGAAGTAGAATTAAATTATTACTTTTAATTTCAAAAGCCCATACAAACGTAGAAGAGAAATACTCTTACACTCTTACTACAGAAAACAGTAGGGGGAAAAATAAATAAAAATCACAAATCAACTGAGAGACCCAAAGTGACCTGACACTCAAAGCAAAGCAAAAGTAAAAATGTTATTGAATCATGATGTAAAATAAACTTCATAAAATGAAGGTGTTATTGGTCTCAGGATCTTTTTCTGAATGCATTACTGCAGCTGCCATCTTCACATGCTGTGTTCAGTCTTTAAATGACACATTATTTCTTATATTTTCTTGTTTATGCACAACACAATATTATAGAAATT